TCATTGATAAGATTCAATGAATCTCAAAAGATCTATGAGTTTCATAGTTCGAAATTAGTGAATTGTTCTTACCTACCTTCATAAATTCGCAATATTAGGAGATCTGTCTTCTTAATTATGAATTGTTATATTGGATCCTAGCCTTGAATATTAATTATTGTTTAAAATATTAAGGATTCATATCAACTAACTAGAACTACTTCTTTCATATAGATGTCTACTACATGAGATGCTACTGCTACTTAATCATCCACCAACAAAAACTTCACTCTATTATCGATCCTCTCTAAAGAGAAACTAGTTAGTCCAAACTACATGGAATGGATGTGAAATCCCAATATGACTCTTCGATACGAGGGAAAATAATATTTCCTCAAAAAATATCTTGTCGAAATCGATTAGTCAATTGCTATTCCAGAAAAATTGTTGCCTACAAGAAACACTATGACGATGCAACAAAGGTTGCTTGCATCATGGTTGCAACCATGGTATATGAGTTGCAAAAGTTCTATGAGTACTATTAGCCATAAAACAACTTCACTCTACTATCGATCCTCTCTAAAGAAACTACTTGGTACAAACTACATGGATTAGATGCGGAATGTCAAGATGACTCTTCGATACGAGGACAAAGAATATGTCCTCGATAAAGTTGTTTCTGAAATCGATGAGTCAGTTGCTACTCCAAAAGAGATTGATTTCTACAAGAAACACTATGAGTATGCAATGAAGGTCGCTTTCATCATGGTTGATACCATGGTACCTAAGTTGCAAAAGTTCTATAAAGACGACTAGTCATACAAGAAGGGCTTGGATCTTACAGAAAAGTTCCAGAAGAAAGCACGTCAAGAAAAGTATGAGGTCATAAAAGCATTAATGGCCTGCAAGTTAAAGTAGGAAGAGTCTGTTTGCAATCATGTGCATAGAATGCAGAGATATGTGTAGCGTCTTGAAAGGATCAATGTGAACTTTAACGAGGCATTGACTATTGACATAGTCCTTAACTCCTTGTCATATTGTTACGATCAGTTCATCTTGACTTATCATTTGAACATCACAAAGACCACATTGACCCAACTCCATAACTTGTTGCAGACAGCTGAATCAAGGATGAAAAATAATCAAGTCCCTTCTGCTACAAGTGCTCCCGTCCTTTCCATTAGGAAAAATAGAAGGAAAGAAGAGGAAGGCTAAATCTCAATCGAACTGGAAGGGTAAGGCCCAAGCTGGATCCTCTAGCAGTGGGTCAAAGATAAAGCCCATTTAAGACATTCCTGTTGTTAGTGACCCCAAAGAAGCCATTTTCTACTACTGTACTGAAAAGGGCCATTGGAAAAGAAGTTCCCCTAAATACTTGCAAGACATCAAGTATGGCAAGGTCAAGCCATCGTTGGCAGGTATATACACTATTCAAGTTAATAACTCACAACTTACTCGTTCTTGGGTCCTTGATACAGGAGGTGGATTTCACATTTGTTTTGATTTGTAGGGGCTAAGAGAAAGTGAAGATTTGTATCATGGAAGAATAAATATGATCATGGGAAATAGGAGATCTTCTCCTATTACCAAGATCGGAACTTATGGTCTTATGCTTAGTAGTGACAGTAGGATAGATTTAATTAATTGTTGTTATTCGTCAGAAATGACACGAAACATTATTACTTTTCATGCATTGTTTAGAAAAGGATTTCCATATTCTTTTAATGATATAAATGGTTCGATTTTAGCTTATAAAAATTGTGCTTTTTGTTTGAAGCTTTACCTTGTAATGGTGTGCATGAAACTGTGATTTGTGTTGATAGCTTAGGCAATAGTGTATTGAATATTGATTCGTCTAATGGTGTAGAGAAAACATGATTGTGGCATTATCGTCTTGGACACATTAACAAGAAACACATCGCCCAACTCCAAAAGGATGGATTTTTGGAATCATTTGACTTAAGGTTGAATGATGAATGCGAGTCTCGTACCTTTCACTACATCTTGTGAAAGAGGTGACAGTTTGTTGGATCTCGTACACACATGTGTGTGTGTGCCCTTCAAATCAACCACAAGGGATGGCAATCGATTCTATGTGACATTTACAGATGATTATAGCAGATATGGATATCAAGTTAATCAAACATAAATCAAAAACGTTGAAAAGTTCAAAGAGTTTAAACACAAGGTAGACAATCAACTGGGCGGGAAGATAAATATGCTTCGACCTGATAGAGGTGGGGAGTATCTTAGTATCGAATTCCACGACTATATCATGGAATATGGAATAGTTTCATAACTGAATCCTCCTAGGACACCACAACTTAATGGTGTGGCTGAGAGGAGAAATTGAACTTTGTTATACATGGTTCGTTCTATGATGAGTCGAACTTTGCTTCCTATTTCTTTCTGGGGGTATAACTTAGAGATAGTCACCGATATTCTTAATCTTGTCCCTACTGAAAAGGTTGCCAAAACATTTTACGAGTGTGGAGAGAGGGAGTTCCCTTGCTAGGCCACATCAAGGTTTGGGGCTGTGAAGCTTTTGTTAGACGAGAGACTCATGATAAGCTATGACATAAAAGTGAGAGGTGTATTTTCATTTCTTGCTGACATAAGTCTTTTGGATACTTGTTCTTAGCCAATTGCATACCAATAGACTAAGTAACAAAAATGTTAATCCAAGTAATGATCTTGGAATTATCAGTCTCACAAGTATCAACCAACAAATCGAAATTTTTAGCTTGAGGCACTGAAGGTTTAGCTTTAGTCCGAGTGAGATAGCCCCACGTATTCTTCCTACGAAGGAATTTCTTCATAATATAGATCTAATAAGTGTAATTCTTCCCATCCAATAGAGTACTAATTGACTAAAGAGAATCGTCCTTTCCAATCATGATGGTAACAGAAAAATAACCACAATAATGGAAAAGCAATCAGAGAACAAGAACAACAAACCAGCGTAAACAACTAATCGAGTAGCATGAAATCGAACAGCAAACTCTAGAATCCGAACAACAGCAACAAACTAACAACAACAACAAATGAACACTAACAAGCAAACGAAAATCAACAGAACACGAACATAAAATGAATCAGCTTCGGTAACCCCCTAACGCGTCACATATGGCTGCTATAAAACCTCCTAACAACGTATCAAACCTCTGCTCTGATACCATGATAGTAGAGTCAAGTGATTAATGAAAGAGAGAGATTACAATGTTCTTGAAAAGCTTAAAAACAAAGAGCAACAAGATGGGGAATCTAAAGGCAAGCTAAGCTAACCCTAACCCTAATAGGCTAAAGACAAAAGGAGCCCAAAACAAATGGGCTTATAATAAACATATATATGGTAACAATACATTCTGTGCAAAACATGAGTTGTTTTAAGTAAGTAATTCCAAGCACCTACTTAGGTAATTTTTGCAAGTCTTTGTTTACATCAATATATTTTCTTTGTTATACGTTTTCAGCACATTGAATAGTACAAACATAGGGGCACTATTATCCATCTTGCCATGGTCACCAAAAAAATAATGAACTAACTTTGATAACAAGGATTGTTAATACATTACTAATCATTATAAAATATGCATTATAATTATTAAAAATGGTAATATTCATGCATTTGTATGATAGTAAGTGTAAGGTGGCTCCCATATCCACATACAACCCATTATCGACTGATTCTTTAACCAAAGGGACTGAAACAGTTAAAAAATAAATGTAGTTAACTTCCAGAAACTAGAGGGAACCATAGCCAAAGAGGGTTATAGTAATAGGCATACAAGAGGTGATCATATAGTGATTTATCGATGCCATAGGTAGAGTTGAGAGTATCATTGGATGTTATTGGATTGTGACATTTGGCATGGACCAGGAAGGCCATAACTGATGCAACTGCAAATATAGGCATGTACGCTATAAACGCCGTGAGGGCCCTACGGTTGCCATTATTTAGACAAGATTGATTGTTTTTGTTAAAATTTTAATGATTGTTTGAATGGTAGTAGTGTTGGTTGGACTGATTTTCGAACATGTTAAAGTTCGTGGTTTGGTTACCTACATATAAGATTGTAGGAGATGAGGCAAGATCATAGTGCATCCTCGGAAAATCACATATTTTTTCCAGCAAATCTAATCTACTCCTAACCTAAGACTCCTAATTCCACCTATATCCACAACAGGACTTGAACCCTCAACCTCAAATAGGAAAAGCAACACCTAACATTCCTTGTCAGGTTGCCCCAAACTGAATTAATAGAAACTCATTTCTAAAATATTATCTAAATGATAGGTTTTGGAGATGGTGCCATAAGCCCATAACTTGACGAGTGAGTCATGTTTATTCTCGTCATTATCATCAGCAATGTTTGGTTTTGAGGAGCTATCAAGATGGCCAAGAACTCCAAAACACATGTAGTGAGTTTCAAAATGTCCATGTATTGTACTTGAGTTTGTCAAAGTCAAAAAGATGAAGGCTTTGATGTTTGTTATCCCTAAAGGTTTTTCAGTAGAGGAAGCCACATACGACAAAGGGAGAGGGAGGCATTTCAAAATGGTGAGAAAAGATGAAAGACATTTAGGCGAAAAAACTAGGCTCCCCACCACCCAGTGTGGCTCCTCAATATGGCCAACCTTTGATTGAAACCCTTATAAGACCTTTCTATGGGGTTCCCAAGTGTTGCACAGTGAACCACCAAGGTGTTTATGTGTAATTCAAATGAATATATGCGATTCATATTCCATTAATTTCAAAATAAAGGCAATATGAGATGTGTCAACTGGTAAAATATACAAAAATGACAGTGGACCTACTCCATATCATATACAACAATTACTAATTATAGTAATAATTAAATTTATCAATGAACTCAGCTATAGAATTAGTAGCCAACTCGTTTTCAATGAAAAAAGGATCATATCGCATACGTGGTAGCTAAATGGTTTTATTACTTATTACTCATGATGTGTTATATAACTAAAAACTGGAAAATTAAATAATTCGGCTCATAAGTTACCTTCCTCAGAAATTGGTATGCGTGTGTCGCTGAAAAAATATCATTTGTTATGTAAGCTTCAGGAGTTTTTGCATAAGAGAATCCACACCCAGCAGGTAAATCAAGATATATTATGCTGGCCACCTAAAATGGAATAATAATTTCATTACATATGTCAGTTGTACTATTTGGATTATTACTTGTACATATTGTAAATTTTAACATGAAACACATGTAAACATATGAATTAATAAAAAAAGATTATGACCATGTACCAAAAAATAAGCATTTCTAAGCATATGTTCCTCTTCTATATCAACTCAAATTCCGCTAGCTAATATTCAAACCAATCCTCTCTCTAAGCATATGTTCCTCTATTAGAAAAGTGAACATTTATTTTATTTTATAGTGAATAATTGCATGTACAACAAGTAAATTACATGGTTACAAGTAAACACCTTTGTCCAACTGTCAGAATTTATCTCGAGCATTTGCTTCTCCCAAGTGGAATTTAAATAGTTGATGTTTAATGGACCTGTATACACAACCACTAAGGCATTAAATATGTCTGTATTCTATTAAGTACACATTTTTTTATTTAGAAAAAATAGCATAATTCTATTAAACTTGAGTCTTCAATGCAATGATGAGCAAATTTTCACTAATAAAAACAAAGTTATGAATTATATTAACAAACCTCTGTTGGAAATGTATCAATCTAGACTAATATATTTTCCAACTAAAGGACTATTATAACAACGTTATTTCTTGTAGTGTTATTTGTGTCATATTGTTATCGAGTTGTCTAAAGGTTAAAGAGTTGGTGTGTATAAAGGATCAGTGGATAGAGTTAGCTATTTATGTGTAGTTATCTATTGATGGAGCTATTGATTCAAGTTCGATAGTTCGCTTGGCAGGTGAGTAGTTCTTGTCACAACAACGGAGATGGGGTCATTTACTAATAAAGGTCTAGCCACTAAAATTAGTGATTTGGAAGTTAGAGCTAATAAAAATTTATATATGGGTGTGAGCTATACAAATTTAATATGATCGACAAGAAAGGGGTGTTTGGCAGGTTCAGAATAGACAACGTAGGTTTTTTTTCATAAATTTACGACAAAGCACGAAGTGTGTGGTTCCAAAATTGCATCCGAACACAACTTAGGTTGAAGGGTATGGAAGGAGATTTTAACGCGTGAAGCTGAGTTGGCACGGGTGCTCATGCGTGAACACCGCCCCAGCTAGGGTGAATGTAATGCAGAGTGATGCTTGTCACGGACGCTTACGAGCAATGTGATTGCTTGTTTGTTTTTGATCGTTTATTTCCATTCTTTTTTGACCGTTAACATTTATTAAAAATAAAAACTTTTCTTTTAAAATTAAAACCTCAACTATATATACAAACACAATACACATAAAATATCTTACAACAAATAGTCAAATACACTAAAAAATAACAATATGAATAATTTTTTGGGTGTCATTTCTTCCTCATCTTATGATGATTCCGCTGATGAGTTGATTTTGTACACGTTGTTGTCTGTGGCACACCACTTTGTACGTTAGGGAGGCGAAAGTTCAAATGTCGAGAAGAAACCAAGAAAGCCAATCAACCGGGATCGTATCGCGGTGAAATAACTTTTGGTACGTGATTACTTTAGCCCTGAATAGTTTATACGACCTATCGAAGTTTGAAGATCGTTTTCGTATTAGTAGAAATTTATTCCTACGTATAGCTAGAAATTTGGAAAATAATTATGAGTTTTTTCAATTGAGATGAGATGCTACAGGTAAATGTGGTTTTACTACATTACAAAAATGCACAACAGCTTTTAAACAATTGGCGTATGGCATAACCGCAGACGCTTCAGATGAATATTTGAAAATGTCTGCGAGGACCGGTCGAGAATGCACATATCTTTTCTATGAGTATGTTATAGAGCTTTACGGTGACATATATTTGTGAAATCCGACTATAAGTAATGTCGAACAGTTGTATGCTGCACATCAGACTTAACATGGATTTCCAGGAATACTAGCTAACATTGATTGTACACATTGGGTGTGGAAAAATTGTCCCAATGCATGGTGAGGGCAATTCACATGAGGTGATCATGGTGTGCCTACTGTTATACTAGAAGCAGTTGTTTCACATGACCTCCGGTTTTGACATGCATTTTTGGTATGACACGGTCAAACAACGACCTGAATGTGCTTGGAGTATCTCTGTTATTTAACGACATTTTGCAGGGTAAAGCACCAAACATGTCATACGTTGTAAATGGACATGAATACAATTATTGATATTACCTTAGTGATGAGATATATCCAGAGTACGCTACATTTGTCAAATCATAAACATATCCGACCGATAAAAAAACAAAAATTGTTCAAGTTAGCACAAGAATCTGCAAGGAAGGATGTGGATCGGACATTCGGAGTCCTCAAACAGAAGTGACACATAATCAAACATCTAGCACGAGCATGGGATAGGAAAAAGTTGATGAAGGTGATGAAAGCGTGTGTTATTTTACATAACATGATAATAGAAGAAGAGGGTATGATGACTATATGTACATATATTGCGAACGATATACTTAATCCACCTGCAGTAATACAAGTCGGCAACCCAACATACTTTATAAGGCTTTTGGAAATACAAAACAGTGAAACATTTCACAATCTACGCCAAGATTTGACTGAGCACATATGGCAACGAAAATTCGAAGAGCACAACAACGACGAGGAGGATGAGGATACGGACGACGAGAACGAGGCCGACGGTGAGGACAATGATGACGACAAGTAGTATTTTTTTTTATTTCAATATCTTATTATTTTTTTTATTAGTAAAATGTATGTTGAATTTTAAAAATATTACTTTTATTTAAGTTAATGTTTTTATTTAAAAAATTATTGATGTATGTTTAATAATTGTGTTTTTATTTAATATAATGTCAAAAAAAGATAAATAATATGAAATGATAATCATTTCCAATGACTAGTTAACATATAATGGTGGTGATTTGACACATATGTGACATCACTTTTAAACATCTTGTAACCATACATCTTGGTCTTATGTACCAGGTATTTACACTGACATGTGTAGGGAACTACAAGATGTGATTATGTATTTCATCTCTATAATAAATGATCAATCTAGTAGGATGTGATTATGTATATACTAAAACGATGTTTTTAATAAATTCAACTAATGAAGGGTTTTTGTGGAAACTAAATAAAAGATTCAAAAAGTTGAGAACTAATAGTGCGTCGGATTTTCACATTTAACAATTTGATAAGTTTTAAAATAGAAGATGATATTTCGAGGAATCATACTATAATATGAACTCCTTAATTAAGAAAAAAATGGAACTAGATTGAATAAATATAACACCACTTCAAAACTTTTATCTGATTAGGAGCAGATAAGCCCCTACCTATATAGTCAAGAGGGATATAGCCCCGAAAGAAGTAAGGCCAGTTGATTTCCAAGATTTTAGTAGCTCAGGAAAGGTTCCCGAGATTGGAGTGGGTCTATTAGCACCGGGACAGGCCAGTTAGAAGAATCTTTATGAGGCTCAAAGATCTTGAAAAAAAAAAAAAAAAGAACGAGTGAGGACGTGTCCAATCTGAACCAAGCTCAAAGCTGAAAAGAATAAGGAAACACACTCTTTTTCGGAACAAAGAAGAACCCATAAAGTGAGGTGTATGCCATCCAACTTAGCATTGCCAAAGTCACTTTAGCAAAAACTACCAAAAGTGTAACATACTTGATCAAGAAGTATGGCTCCCTCTTTTTGATTTAGATGAATAATCATATAGGGATATGTGCTAGCAACCATAAGGATTATGCACACCTTAAGGTGTTTGGATGTCTTGCAAATGTCACACTTGTTACGGAAATTTAGAGCCTATGACATAAAATTTTATATTTATTAGTTATCCTTCTACGGTGGAAGGATGTAGTTTAGGAAACCCAGATGATGTTAAAGATGTTTTTTCCATAGGCTATTCCCGTTAACAATCCAATTCAACCTAATTTTTTTTTATAAAAAATCAATTTATTTCTCCTTCCATATACAGTCCAATCCAATCCAATTATTTACATTCATTAGCAATCCAACCCAACCTATTTTATATTAACACTAGGCGAATGCCCGCGTGTTGCGCGGAAGCATATATATAGCTGAAATCTTTAGAAATATAGGTTTTTTTAATACAACAATAATATTGTTAAATTTGTTGTAATAATTCGTATGCTAAGTTGATATAATATATTGATTATTTTGAATTATATGATATATATATATATATATATATATATATATATATATATATATATATATATATATATATATATATATATATGTATGTATGTATGTATGTATATCTATTAAAACTGTATAATCTTAATCTTTTGAATGACCTCTACCCGCAGGTTACTCATGAATAAAATTTAATATAATATATGGTTTAATGTTATTTATAGTTGTTATTATTGTTAATTAAATTTTAAAATTTATTTGCTTAACATTTTAATCTCTATCATTGTAATTATTTAAAACATCAAAGAATTATTTTTTATTTTAAAGGTAACAATATAATTGTTTATATAAAGTTATTTTTAACTATTATTATTGTAAGTTATTTTAAGTTACTTATTTGAAAACTTTTAACGATTATAAAAACAACTTTACGAAAAATACTTTAGGTAAGTTGATATTACAATTTAGCTTTTGCATTTAACACTACAATTTATCATTTTTAACTATTTAGAAAATATTTTTTTGAGTTTTTTAAGTGGAACTAAAATTTATATTGAAGTTGAGTCTGTAATGTTATATTTAAATTAACTATTTAAGTATTTTGTCCAAACTGTTCAAAAGTTATAGCTTTAAACTGATAATGGTTTACATACAACAACATATTAAATATAATAAATTAAGTCTAATATGTTAAAAGTTAAAGTCATAACTTTATAAGTAGAAGTAAAAATATTATTTTAATATTGAAATTTAATTTATTTATGATTACACTTTAGGTTTAATATTTATTTAACATTATTAACCAACTTATAATCATTATTAGAAAGACACTATAATTTATCACTTTTAACTATTTACAAAATATTATTTAGGTTATTTAAGTTGAACTAAAATTTATATTTTAGTTGTCCTATAAGGTTATATTTAAATTAACAATTTAAGTATTTTATACAAATTGTTCAAAAGTTGTAGCTTTAAAATGATAATGGTTTACATACAACAACATATTAGACCTAAAAAATTAATTATAATATGTTAAAGTTAAAAACATAACTTTATAAGTAGAAAAAAAATATATATTCTTTTAATATTGAAATTTAGTTTATATATTATTACACTTTTGATTTTATATTTATTTAACCTTATTAACCAACTTATAATCATTATTAGAAAGAAATTGAAAAGTCATGGAAGTTTCAAATGAATGTGGTGAAAGAAAA